GAGAGGATTAGTGTTGTCATCAAATGTGAAGGAAATTGGACTAAAAATCTCTATAATTTGATTTCATCTCCTTCTTCTTCAACGAATCGTCGTCTTGAAGTTTCAGTAGAAGGACCATATGGACCTGCTGCTACAAACTTTCTCAGGTTAGTTTACTTGCAAACTGCATAATAAGAGTTCTTCCTAATGACTTAGATTTTCACAAGTTGGTTTAACAAAAAAAAAACCGGGCTAGACCAACCAACTTAAAGAGAAAATTTGAAAATCGAACCAGAAACTGATCTAGCTGTAAGCAGCAAATCGAATAAAAATATACACTGGGATGAAAACTAGACCACTTATCAATTCATTTAAGTTTCATATTATGCCTTCGAACGTTCAAGAATGAGAAGTTTTTTCTTAATACAATTTGTGTGTGTGTGTGACATTATTTTTTGACCTCTAGAAAGATTCTCATGGAATCTTGGTCAAAGTTTTGACCACTAAATTAAATGTCTGGGCTAGGTATAAAATAAAAGTCATTTGATAAAGTATTACAAAGCATGTCGAAGATAAAATATGAGTAATCCCATCTCCAAAAATTTAAGCTTTTAAATAAGATTAACATATGTATATGCATGTACACATGGGTGCACGCTCTTAATTGATTTGCGTGCTCGACTAACGATGGAGAAATTTCATTGGTTGCAGGCATGACATGCTGGTGATGGTCAGTGGAGGCAGTGGAATCACCCCTTTCATATCAATAATCAAAGAGCTAATCCACATCAATTCCACATCTCAATCCCACAGCATTCCAAAAATCAAACTCATCACTGTGTTCAAGAATTCTTCACATCTCTCCATATTAGACCTAATTCTCCCAATTTCTGGCATTCCCTCATCAGAATCTTGCACCAATTTAGACCTCCAAGTTGAGGCCTATATTACAAGAGAAAAAGGGCAGATAAAAGACAAACTACAGACCCCACAAACTGTATTTTTCAGGCCTAATCCTTCTGATGCACCTATATACCCCACTTTAGGCCCCAATAGTTGGCTTTGGCTATGTGCAATAATTTCGTCATCATTTGTTGTTTTTCTTGTGCTTCTTGGAGTTTTCACTCAATATGTCATTTACCCTATTGATCAAAACACCAATAAGCTCTATTCCTACTCCAAGAAGGCTTTGATGAACATGCTTTTCATATGTTCTTCAATCGTTTTAATGTCCACCGGCGCATTTATGTGGAACAAGAAACGGAATTCGAGCGAAGCCAAGCAGATTCTCGACATGGAAGATTCGGTGACTAGTATATCTTCATTTGATGATGGTGAGAGAGAACTGGAAAGCCTTCCTCAACAATCAGTTATCAAGTCTGTCAATGTGCATTACGGTCAGAGGCCTGACC